CCTCCGTGGACTGGACTAATAATCTAAAGGTAGCAAAACACACAGAGAGATCCAGCAAAAAAAATGTCTAGGTTTAGGACCCTCACTGAACAGAACTGATTTCACCCACTCGAATCTGACTCTACTAGTCTAGGTACAGCAATGTAGGCAAAGCTTGAAAACACACACCCTATTTGTATTCTATAGAGGAACTAAATAGTTTCACTCTACATGGAACTATCTGTTAAAACAGACAAAGTGATTTTGTGTGTGTGTGTGTATATGTGTGTGTGTGTGTGTGTGTGTGTGTTTAATTCCCAGAGTTGTAGTAGAAGGCAAATTTTAAAAACATCTCAAGAAAACAATGTATCATTAAGTAGGAAATTACTTACTTCAGTATCTACCAAGAACAGAAAAAAGATCCATATCCTGGTCTTCCATCAGTCTAAAGTTTTTGTTTTTCTTTTTTTAAATGTAAAGCAGAGAAGGGGCCCAGATCACAGAATAAAGAACACTACTGGCTAGTACATTAAAGACCAGAAGGAAAATTGTGTTAGGGAAGATGATGAGACAAAATCATTGAAAATTAGAACTCATGTACATACCAAAGCCATTCCACAGGACAGGTACTTAATAGTATAAAATTTGTAAGAAGGCAAAACTTAATAAAAATATATGGGCTTGTAAGGATATAACACTGGACACATAAAACTATTTGGAAATACAGGTGCATTGAAAGACAGCTGGGAGAGCGCAAGTTGTTAAAAAAACAGTCAATGAAAAGTATGAGAACAATGTACAAAAATAAAAGGACCCCAAGGCCTAAAGAGCTACTAACTGGGGAGAAAGCACACCCCACTTTAAAGTATGCCAAAGCCCTTTAGAGAAAGGTTATTAGCAGAATATCTTTTAAAAGAAAATTATAGCATATGGCGTCACATAAATATAAGTTGATGTGGAAAATATGTGGGTACATTACCACTTTCACAGTGAAAATGAGAAAGCAAGCCTCAGAGACTGCAGATAGAATACCAAGGTGAGAGGTAATAATCAATAACTTTAAGGTAGAAGTAAAACATCAACTCGTGAACTAAACATCTCAAGGAATGGGTATAGGAGGATAAAAATAACTCAGACACATAGGCTGAGCTGCAGAACCATAAAGCCTAATAAGCAACTGAGAAGCTAGAGCCTGTGCCTGGACAAGCAGGTTTATATAGCTGAAGTTAAGCTAACCTCAAACATTTCTGAGGACCATTTATGTGTGAGGCATCTGCTGGGTGTTCTGGGAATAAAGGCATGGGTCAGGCAGCCCCGACTCCAAAAGTTCCAAGTCAATAGAAAGAGATAGGCACATATACCAGTAAACCTAGTGGAAGGCACACTGTGGTAAGAAGTGTATGAGATGCACTGAGGGGTATTATGTTTAGTATACATGGTGTGGGGGGTCACGGGGAAGACAGTGTAGCAGAGAGAAGGCAAATAGCGAATCTGTGGCATCTTACTACACTGATGGACAGTGACTGCAATGGGGTATGGGTGGGGACTTGATAACCACATTGTTTTTCATATGAAACATTCTTAAGAGTGTATATCAATAATACCTTAATTAAATAAAAGAGAAGTGTATGAGATGCAAAAAGAGGTTATGGCAAAGTGAAAAAGAAAGAAGTCCTGCATAACTCTGGATTCAGATGGAGGGCACCTGAGGTCTGGTGCCAGCTAAGCCCTGAGTATCTCTCAGCAAAAAAGTATACTCTCTGCACTGCAGTTCTCACATTTACACCAGGAAAGGTGATTGTGTGATTTCTATTAATTCTAATTTTCTGTCTTTGTAGTTAAGCTTCTCAGAGGTCAGGCTCTGAATTAAGCTATGAATGAAAGTCTTTCTGGGCTAGAAATTGAGGCAGAGTGCATACTAAAGGCAAGGAATAGAGTGAACTGAGGCATAAGCCCCTGGTGGCATCAACTCACTCTGCAAATAAAAACTGTGTTACCTACAATCTGGGGATTTCACTAATAGTACAGAACATTCTAAATGCTCAAACAAAGAAAATGGATATAAACTTCAAGAAGTAAAAAAATTTAAACAAAAAAGTAATATGACTTATAAAAATGTTTAGAGTAAAAGAGAATGAACTCACATTTATATTAAATATAAAGTAAAGCAAATCTTACACTTCTAACAAATATCATGTCATTAATATATAGCAGATGAAGAGATGTAGCTTCCTTTAAAAAAGAAGTCTGCATATCCATGAACCTTTTCCAATATTTGTCTTTAAAATGTACATATGCAAGGGAAATTTCTTCTTGCACATACTCAAAAAAGGTTATATTAAAAAAAAGAGAGAGAGATTGGCAGAATTGCAAGAAAGAATCAAGACTTCTGAATTAAATGAAAATGAGTTGCTTCAAATGAGGATGCCATATTCCCAACTGTTTATTGCAAGAGGAGAATTACTGAGCAGTGCACTCACCCATCCAGCCATCCGCCATCCATCCAAATATATATATACATAAGAACATACAGACATGCATTTGACCATACACAATCATTCCTACTAAAAACACAGTAGCATAATAAGAGCCAAGAGGAACATAAGGACAAGTGAGAAACCATGCCTTGTTGCTTAAATCGGGAAACAAAGCTTACGTTCTTATACGGAAGTAGGGAAGTATCACCATCATGTGGGCCCTCAGTGCCACATATGCCACAAAGAGAAGGACAAGCAGTATAGCATGGTGGGTAAGGACAAGAGCCTCACCTCAGAAACTTAAGAGCCATAAAACCATAGAGATGCCACCTCTCCTCTCTAAGCTTCCATTTCTTTATGTGGAAAAAGTTATTTCATAGAGTTACAGGGGAAGGCACTAAAATGATAATGAAAAAGCATAGTGTCTCACATAGAGCACATGTTCAATAGTGACAGTGAGAGCAGGAGCAATAACAAAAGTAGAAACGTGACAGTCCTGGAATAAGATGTATGTGGAAGCCCAGGGAAAGGAGTAATTACTTCTGATCTAGGCCATGCCTAGACATTTTGGAGAAGGTGATACCAGCAGGATGACAAAAAGGTGTGGGGTGGTATGTTGAGGAAGAGCAAAGATTTGTGGTCTATATAGTAGAGAGAGTATGTATTATACCAGTGTCCCTCGAGAACAAGACAGACAGTAGGTGAACCTCCCATCCTACAGTGAAGTATGTTCGAAACAGCGAACCTCCCATCTCAATGCAGAAAGAGTCATCCAAGGAGCCAGGACACTGTAATTCATAGTATTTGGAGTGAAGGAGTGTAAAGGGAGATTGTTACATGCTTCTCTCTTCTATCTCACACATGCCATTTATTAGCCTACTTAGTATATGACCTTCCCCCTCTCAACCTTCAGGTGTATATCAACTGTTATACGTACAAAGGCTTCTTCACACGTTTGCCTCCTACTCTAGCTGGGAACCTGCCTTATCCCCTTCCTTTTAGAGGGAAGTCCATTTTTGCTCTCCTCAAAAGTTAGGAGACAGAAAAACAATCCTGCTAGTAAGCAAACAAGGGGAAACACTGAGAATACAAATGAGAAAGCCAAAATATGGCTCTTTCTGTCCTTATGAAGAGGGATTCTCTTTCAGATCCCATGCAATCACTGAAGAACGATGAGCCAAGGAAAACGAGTTCCACTAAGTCTTTGATTAACTGCAAAGGTGGAGTCTCCTTCAAGGCCAATAAAGCTTTAAGCACTGCTGTGGAGATTAGTTGAGCACCAAGGCCATCATTTATTGTTTTTCCAGAGCAGCTCTCTGAAGGTCTCGTTGCCCTTTCTGTAGAAAGGGTCCCCAAAGACCCACAGGGCCAGCTCCGGAGTGCATGCTGGTGCCCCACCTGCCTACCACCTGCCTAAGTGCCCCAACCACATAGCAGGACAGACATCTGGACTAGGCTTCTGACTTCAGAAGTCATTAAATGCTAATTCAAATACCAATAGATGAGTGCTGGGGGCAGGGAGAGGACCAGGCAAGAGACTGAACTATATCACAGAGTGTGAAAGTGTCTCATAAACTTTCTGAGACAAACACACTAATGTCATCCAAGAAGCAATTAGAAGCATCATGGAGAGAATAAAGTACATTTTTTAAGGTGGAAAGGGGCACTGAATCTGCTTTTACTGCATCTTCTCTCTCAGTTCCCAGAAGTCTAACATTCTGCTGTTTAAGTTATCATTTAACAGGTTTGGATGAGCTGCTGACACCTAATTGATAAAAATACAGAACACTCCAACCAGAGTACAGCAATCCTCTTGTTGCTTATGGGGTGTAGTGTATGGAGTGTGCACAGACATATATACCTGAGATGCCGAGCTCGTTAGATTTTTAAACTGTTTGATATGAACTGAATGTACTGCTGTTAAACCCCCACAACTAGGCTCCACTCAAATTTGTTTTCTCCGAGTTTCTTCAAGTGTAGATCTCACAGAGCCATCACTGAAGAACCATGAGCCAAGGAAAACGAGTTCCACTTAAGTCTTTGATTAACTGCATCCTGCAGCAGCCAAGGGGAGGAAAACTAGCCAGAGAAGGCAGAACAATTCCAGGTGCCTCAACAGGTTCACTCTGTATGGGTTTCCAATCAGACCACTGCTTGCCAGCATTTTGGGTACTGTCCATGGCAAGGAGGGACAACTGGGTAGTAGACACATTCCTACAAGACAATGAGATGGGGGTGGAGGGTAATGCAGAAGGGTGCCAAACTCCAAATGAAGAGATCAAGGTTCTAGTTCTGTCTGTAGCCCTAACTCACTGCATGACCATAGCCACATAGCCTCTAACAGGTCTCATCTCTTTATCCTAAAAGAAGAGTTGGCCTAGATGGTTCCTAACTGTTCTTTAACCTTTGATGGTCTGTGAATTATGGTAATCACACTGAAAATCCTTAAGCTACCTTTTTCCAACACAATAATGTGCTGTAAATCATTTTATTACATTGCTCTCTCCCACTTTGGGTGCCCAACTCAGAAGTCCCCCCACTTACCTTCACCTCCAGGCTGCTTGTATGGGTTGTACTTGGGCTTTGGAGCAACTACGGGTGCAAACTTTTTGGGTGGCTGTTGTGTGGACACTGAAATGCTAGGGGTCCCAAAGGAATGGGTGGTCTCCATCCGTGCAGGCACATGGCCAAGGGGCTCACCAGTGCTTTTGGGTGGCAGCCAAGATGGGTGAGACATAGCTGGAATCTGGAATTTAAAAGAAACACAGTTGTTTTTACAGAGGCATGAAAATGGAAGCAACATACTTCACTTCATTATTATTTCATCTTAATCCATCTTAATGAACTCTAGATGAAGCCCTCTGAAAAAAAGAAACATGGAGAAAGAAGAAGGAAGAAGGAGAGTCATGAAAAATTTAACTGGAGGAGAAGAAATGAACAATCCCTTCAACCAATCTTGAATGCCTCTCTTCCAACAGGTACGCATTTTAGTGCCTAGCACTTCTCGGGAAATAAATGTAAATAAGAAAGGGTCTCTGAACTGGTACAAGAATCTTGTACTAGCAAGGGTATAAAAAGCTTCCATTTTATTTATAATCTATTAAAATGACTGCCACACCAATGGTGCTAATCTACCTAAATGAGGTGCTATGACCTGAATGAGGTAAACACACACACACAAGTATTACTGGGATGCAGAAAAAAATAAGATCGCTTCTTGCTGGTAGCAGAACTAAGACCTCATTAATGAGGTGACCTTTAAACTGGGTCTTTAGTGCTGATTGGAGGTTGGGTCTGCACAATGTTAACAAGGTTGCATTGGAAGAAAAGTACACAACCCTTATGTTTAGAGTGGCTGGAGGGAAAACGAAGAAAAGTTGCTAGCAGAGAGCTAAAGTGTGGGACAGCACCAAAGCACAAACAGTTTTGCATGCAAGCTTGAGGAGTTTTAATTTATTATTAGGCATTAAGTAACCACTAAAAGTTTATTCCTGAAACAAGGGAATAACAGGTGCACCAGCTGGACACTGTAAAATGATCTGTGGGGCAGAAGCAGTTCTGTTCCCCACCAAGGGATACTTGCATACTGGGGGAAGGGAGACATTGTAGAAATGCCTGGGACAATTACTGGCATTCAGTAGCCAGGGGCTAGACTATTCAATACCTGTAATGCACAAACCAGTCCCCTGTGGCAAAGAAATGCCCCATTAGGAGCCATGCTGAGCTGATATCATACAGGACCTTTATGAAAAACTTAACTAGAAGGGGACAAACCAGTCCAGCTCAGGTGCTGTTCTAATCACATTGTAATACACTATGCAAGAAAAGAAAATGATGTCTTATGTGTCAGCATAAGCCAGTTCCCCCTGCAGGCAGCCTGCAGGCTAGGGCTGAGCCTCACTCACTGCACCGAGAAGGACTCTCCAAGCCTGATTGCAAGAGCTCTCCACTGCAGGGAGGCCCGGAAGGCACCCTGCACCAGCTCCCAGCCCCAAATACACCCAGTGATTTATAATTCAACTGAATTAATTGAGAGGGCTATGTGATTACCTCCAGATGTCTGTAAAGACAAAGAACACTTGAAACGCAGGAAAAATTTAAGGCCTCAGCACAAGGCACGGTCATTGCGGTAAACACGGAGAGGTGGGGTGCAGTGCTGTCTGGGTAGCATCAGCCCACACCAGGGGGAAAGGCAGGACCTTGACCTCCTGCCTCCATCAGGTGCCCCACCTGGGTACCTCCACTTCTTCAAAATTAAAACAAAAGCCCTGTCCCCCTCAACTTACAGTCTTTATGACAGCCAATGAGATAACATTAAAGTACCTTAAATACTGTAAAGTGCTATGCAAAGAGGGGGCAGGAAAACCATTGGAGACGTAGTTTTCTCAATAAATGAATAGTCAAAATATTATAATAACTCTATATGGTGACAGATGATAACTTCACTTATCATGGTGTTCCATAATATATACAAATGTCGAATCCCTATGCTGCATGCCTGAAATTAACATATTATGTCAATATTCTTCAATATATATAATATTATGTCAATAAAATCATATGCTTATTTTAAAAGACATGAATCAATGAAGTACACTCTAAGTTAGGAATCAAGAGGCTTCTGGTACTTAAACTGGTGGCGACACTGGCTTTTCACTCCAGCTGCAGGGCCCTCCTTTCCTCTTCCTCCCTCTGAACCTGGTGCACATGCTGTGTCACATATACACCTGTGCACTGTGAATACCATGAAAGGGCAAAGACCACAATGTACACATCCCTAACCACCATGAAAGGCCAGCATAAAAACTTTATAGAAAAACAACCATGAATCTGGTTTACTCATGATTCTTAAACCAGGTTGCACATTTAGAATCATTAAAGAAGTTTTATTTTTTTAATACCAAAACCAGGCCAATCTCTCAGAGTTGGGAAACAGTAATTTTGGTTTTGTACATTTTTTTTTAATTGAGTTTGTCTTCTACTAAAAGGAGATAAAAGTGTCTGTTCTGCTTTCAACATGACTAAAGTGATTAGAGTAAAAGAGAATGAACTCACATTTATATTAAATATAAAGTAAAGCAAATCTTACACTTCTAACAAATATCATGTCATTAATATATAGCAGATGAAGAGATGTAGCTTCCTTTAAAAAAGAAGTCTGCATATCCATGAACCTTTTCCCATATTTGTCTTTAAAATGTACATATGCAAGGGAAATTTCTTCTTGCACATACTCAAAAAAGGTTATATTAAAAAAAAGAGAGAGAGATTGGCAGAATTGCAAGAAAGAATCAAGACTTCTGAATTAAATGAAAATGAGTTGCTTCAAATGAGGATGCCATATTCCCAACTGTTTATTGCAAGAGGAGAATTACTGAGCAGTGCACTCACCCATCCAGCCATCCGCCATCCATCCAAATATATATATACATAAGAACATACAGACATGCATTTGACCATACACAATCATTCCTACTAAAAACACAGTAGCATAATAAGAGCCAAGAGGAACATAAGGACAAGTGAGAAACCATGCCTTGTTGCTTAAATCGGGAAACAAAGCTTACGTTCTTATACGGAAGTAGGGAAGTATCACCATCATGTGGGCCCTCAGTGCCACATATGCCACAAAGAGAAGGACAAGCAGTATAGCATGGTGGGTAAGGACAAGAGCCTCACCTCAGAAACTTAAGAGCCATAAAACCATAGAGATGCCACCTCTCCTCTCTAAGCTTCCATTTCTTTATGTGGAAAAAGTTATTTCATAGAGTTACAGGGGAAGGCACTAAAATGATAATGAAAAAGCATAGTGTCTCACATAGAGCACATGTTCAATAGTGACAGTGAGAGCAGGAGCAATAACAAAAGTAGAAACGTGACAGTCCTGGAATAAGATGTATGTGGAAGCCCAGGGAAAGGAGTAATTACTTCTGATCTAGGCCATGCCTAGACATTTTGGAGAAGGTGATACCAGCAGGATGACAAAAAGGTGTGGGGTGGTATGTTGAGGAAGAGCAAAGATTTGTGGTCTATATAGTAGAGAGAGTATGTATTATACCAGTGTCCCTCGAGAACAAGACAGACAGTAGGTGAACCTCCCATCCTACAGTGAAGTATGTTCGAAACAGCGAACCTCCCATCTCAATGCAGAAAGAGTCATCCAAGGAGCCAGGACACTGTAATTCATAGTATTTGGAGTGAAGGAGTGTAAAGGGAGATTGTTACATGCTTCTCTCTTCTATCTCACACATGCCATTTATTAGCCTACTTAGTATATGACCTTCCCCCTCTCAACCTTCAGGTGTATATCAACTGTTATACGTACAAAGGCTTCTTCACACGTTTGCCTCCTACTCTAGCTGGGAACCTGCCTTATCCCCTTCCTTTTAGAGGGAAGTCCATTTTTGCTCTCCTCAAAAGTTAGGAGACAGAAAAACAATCCTGCTAGTAAGCAAACAAGGGGAAACACTGAGAATACAAATGAGAAAGCCAAAATATGGCTCTTTCTGTCCTTATGAAGAGGGATTCTCTTTCAGATCCCATGCAATCACTGAAGAACGATGAGCCAAGGAAAACGAGTTCCACTAAGTCTTTGATTAACTGCAAAGGTGGAGTCTCCTTCAAGGCCAATAAAGCTTTAAGCACTGCTGTGGAGATTAGTTGAGCACCAAGGCCATCATTTATTGTTTTTCCAGAGCAGCTCTCTGAAGGTCTCGTTGCCCTTTCTGTAGAAAGGGTCCCCAAAGACCCACAGGGCCAGCTCCGGAGTGCATGCTGGTGCCCCACCTGCCTACCACCTGCCTAAGTGCCCCAACCACATAGCAGGACAGACATCTGGACTAGGCTTCTGACTTCAGAAGTCATTAAATGCTAATTCAAATACCAATAGATGAGTGCTGGGGGCAGGGAGAGGACCAGGCAAGAGACTGAACTATATCACAGAGTGTGAAAGTGTCTCATAAACTTTCTGAGACAAACACACTAATGTCATCCAAGAAGCAATTAGAAGCATCATGGAGAGAATAAAGTACATTTTTTAAGGTGGAAAGGGGCACTGAATCTGCTTTTACTGCATCTTCTCTCTCAGTTCCCAGAAGTCTAACATTCTGCTGTTTAAGTTATCATTTAACAGGTTTGGATGAGCTGCTGACACCTAATTGATAAAAATACAGAACACTCCAACCAGAGTACAGCAATCCTCTTGTTGCTTATGGGGTGTAGTGTATGGAGTGTGCACAGACATATATACCTGAGATGCCGAGCTCGTTAGATTTTTAAACTGTTTGATATGAACTGAATGTACTGCTGTTAAACCCCCACAACTAGGCTCCACTCAAATTTGTTTTCTCCGAGTTTCTTCAAGTGTAGATCTCACAGAGCCATCACTGAAGAACCATGAGCCAAGGAAAACGAGTTCCACTTAAGTCTTTGATTAACTGCATCCTGCAGCAGCCAAGGGGAGGAAAACTAGCCAGAGAAGGCAGAACAATTCCAGGTGCCTCAACAGGTTCACTCTGTATGGGTTTCCAATCAGACCACTGCTTGCCAGCATTTTGGGTACTGTCCATGGCAAGGAGGGACAACTGGGTAGTAGACACATTCCTACAAGACAATGAGATGGGGGTGGAGGGTAATGCAGAAGGGTGCCAAACTCCAAATGAAGAGATCAAGGTTCTAGTTCTGTCTGTAGCCCTAACTCACTGCATGACCATAGCCACATAGCCTCTAACAGGTCTCATCTC